TATTGGACATTAGTGTAATAATGTTTTAGAATGTGAGTTGCTTTACACCAAACTCCCGCCGTTAGGAGCAATCAAAGACTTTAAACATGGTGATTTGCAATCAATTAGACAGACAGAATCGTCTTATTATCGTGAACATCATTTGTCAAAAAGAGGAAGATGGAGACCTGGCATGTGATTGGTCTGTGCTGCCAATTTTTCTTTGCTCTATGAAAAAGGGCAAAAAAAAAAAAAAAAAGTTAGATCTGCCTGTGAAATCAAAAATTCTATTCCTACCACGAGGAGCATAATTTTCAACAATTGCAGCCATTCTTTTTTGAAGCAGATCTGTCAAATTCACGTGCTCGTCAAGTTCATGGTGCTTGTAATTATTCTAACTTTTCTTCTTTTGCTAATTACTCCCACTAACCCAACTAGTTTTGTTTGGAATCAACCATTACATCAAACGAAAGTAAATTATAAATTAGTCCATTTTCTTTTCTTGAAATAAATTAATTAATCTCTCTGATTTCAAAATTAATTATTTACTTTTTTTATCCAGTATTAATCACAACATATTTAATTTTTTATTTTATAAAATAAATTTTTTTTCATATATCCATATTTTTTTCTTATTTAATCTTTTTATTCAGTATTGATTATGATTAATTTAATATTTTTTAATGTTATAAAATATATTTTTTTAATTTATCAATATTTTTATTTATTTTTTTCTTATTTTTTTTTAAATTTAAAATAAATTAAAAAATAACGAAAAACTAATTAATTCTTTTTTTTTTGAGGGACTGATTGATAATTTATTCCATAATATGAGTATATAACTAAGAAATTGGAGGTACCGATAACTTTTTTTTCATTTTTTTTTAATATTCTCGAATCATTTTATATGTCAATTGAAATCGAATAATTTTAAATGGTATTTTTATATCAATGTATTTAGAAAAAAATAATTAATTTTTTAGTTATTGATTTCAAAAATAGAATGGAGAAAATCATGTTTATCATCGGACCAACTTCTTTCTGATTGCATTTTTTTCTAAATGATGATCCTATTCTCGAATAGTGCTTTCATAAAATATTTATTTCTCCTTATATTTTTTAGAATCAAACACATGCAGAATGATAAGATGATTATTGAAGACAAAATCACTTACGAAACAATATCATGAACAATAGTGATTTGAAAGAGACCACAGATTCCAACATTGGAATTTTTTCTTACTGTAAGATGCCCAAAGATCACATAGAACTCATGCTCATCAACAAATGTAAAAAGATTTCCTTTCTTTGCTGCAAAGGCAACCCAATTTTGCGTGTTTGTTGGCAATTGCAACAACTTTTGAACAACTTGTAGCTGCCTAATGGGCTTGTGAATATTAAAATCATCAATTAGAAAGTATCAATTATTCTCAATTTTCCTTTCCTATTCATTGGGTTCTTAATGTTCATATACCCATTAATATAAACTATAATATATGTTTGAGGATTAAGCAATTTATATAAGTATAGTTTGATATTGCGTTTCTGATTTTTTTTTAAGTGTTTTAATATAAACTATAATGTATGTTTGAGGATTAAGCAATTTATATAAGTATAGTTTGATATTGCGTTTCTGATTTTTTTTAAGCGTTTTGCATATATCGAGATCTCGTATAATTTGAAATTTTTTATTAAAATGCTAATTTTTTTAATATCCATTTTAAGAGTTCTATTCTTATATTATTTTTGTTTTAGATTCAAGGTACCACATAAGCACAATGACAACTTACGCACATGTCATGGTAGCTTAAATTAAGTGATCGAATTGGTGACGTGATAAGTTATCATTGGCTACGGCTTGCCACATATGTTTACGTGGTAAGTTGTCATATGCTATGATCTAAAACAATAATAATATAAGAGTATAATTCTTAAATTGGATAAAAAAAATTTAAGATTTTAATAAAAAAAATTTGAATTGTATAATCTTAATAAGAGTAAAACCAGTCTTTTAAAGTGTTTTTTTTTTTTGAAAAAAACCTCAAATCGATTTGTTTTTAGTTGTTTTTTTTCTATGATTTTGATATGAAAAAGTCAAAAATCATCGGAAAAACATTTTAAAAAACATGAAGATGAAAAATATTTTGAAAAAGTATCTTCAACATTACCAAACAAATATTTACTATTATTTTATTCAATTAAAAAATATTTAAATATAGTTTGATATTGCATTTTTTTATGTTTTTAAAGTTTTTTTTTCTCCTAAAAAAAATCAAGTCGATCTTTTTTTATTTGTTTTTTGAAAATTTTCATACGAAAACGTCAAAACTATTGAAAAATATATAAAAAAACATCAAGATGAAAAATACTTTGAAAACATCTTAAACATTACCAAACAAGCATTTACTATTATTGTATTTAATTGAAAAAAGAGCTAATTTTCTATTTGAACAGAAAAAAAAAGGGGTCCATTGCAACCATATTGATGATACTGCAGCTGCATTATTTCATCACATGAAGGCCAGACAAAAAGTCCCGTCAATATTGTTAAAAAAAACCATTGTTTTTCAACGTTCAAACTTCGAAATGTCTGGCCTTCAAGTCCCAGCAACCTTTTTCCAAAGAAATATGAAAAGGCACCCATGCTTTTCATTGTTTTCTCCCTTTCACATTGACCCATCAGCCGTACTGAAAATTTACAGTAAAAAAAAAAAAAAAAGAAGTAAAAAACTGTTCAAGTGATGTCTTTTCAAGAGAGTTAATTATGATTTACTTCCACTAGCTTTGAAAAAATAAATTAATTAGTCCTTGCTTTTTTAAAATTAATTAGTTTGTAGTTATTTAATATCCTCCTTGTTTTAAAAACAAATAAATAGACATGATAAAAAAATTGATTAAAAAAATTCTTGAAATAAATTAATGTTAAATTATGCGTGATTAAGGATTATTAGAAGATTAAATTATTAGTTTTTGAAACAAAAAATACTAATTAATTTATTTTATAAAATTAAAAGGACTGATTTATAATTTACTCATTTTCTAGAAGATAAAAATTGCACCACGCATACCCACTTTCAAGCCCAAGAGAGATTCCAAATTGATGTATTTTCATATTAGCTTTATTTTTTTGTTTGTCCTGCAATTGAATATTCTATTTCACAACCAAACATTCTAGAAAAAATTCTATTCTTAGAGAAACCAGTTACTATTTATAACCAGCTAGGAGAACTACTTGGCTTCCAATTGGGAGTAAATTATGAATCAGTCCTTCTAGTTTTGGAGATAAACTAATTAGTCTTCATGTTAAAAAAACTCACTATTCATGTTTTTTTGTTAATTTTATGCTATTTTCTACTTTATTTTGTTTTAAAAATAAAAAATACTATAAGAAGATTGACGAGAAAGAAAATATTTTTAAAAAATAAAATAATATTAAATTAAGTTTGGTCAATACTTATTAACTAATTAAAATATTAAATAATTAGTGTTTAAAACAATGTTTCTCAAACCTAAAAAGGACTGATTTATAATTTACTATTCAAAATGGTGAGAAGCATTTCGAAACGAAGACTTCCATGACAAATGTAAATGTTGGTCCAAGCAATCATACAAGTTGATGAAAAAAACTCTAAAAAAGTAAAGTTTTAATGTTTACTATATACGTTAATATTCTCACATATACTTATATAATTGATCAATTTTTCAATATATATTTTCTAAAAAATGCTCTTAATCTATTTTTATGTTTTGAACTGATTATTAACATATATTTTTAGTTAAAATTTTAGATCAATTCATTAAAAATTAAGCATGCGATTTACACATTGTATGTAATTTGATAAAATTAGATTTTTATTTAACACATATAATCTATATTCATTAATATGAAGATTAATGTATGATGAATTGGTTTGAAATTTGAACGAGAGGAATGGATTAGAAACGAATTAAAAGCATAAGAACATATTGAAAAATTGACCTATTATATAAAAATAGATGATGATATTAACGCTTATTGTATCTATATTCGAGATGATAATTTGAAAGAAAATATACTCTTGTGGAGATATATGTCAAATGCATGTTCTTTCTTTTGAAATAAATTTTTTAATCTAAGGAATTAGAGAACCTATTGCTAAGGTTGATTCATAAAGAATATTATATATTAAATGATATGTTAAAAACTAAAAAATAAAAACACTAATTTAGAATTTATTTTTTGCATTACGTAATTTCTAAGCTATCAATCAAATCCATAAAACTCGATTTAATTAGCGGTTGTATTAGATTAATAAAATAAAAATTTGGAATTTATCTAACCTTTATTCTATTCATGACTTTGATGTGATGTGATTTAGCTATTTGATCATGCGATGAATAAAGTTTTCTAGATAACTACAAACCTAACAAAAGAACCCTAAGTAAATTATTAATTAGTCTCTCAAAATTTTTAAAAGGAAAGCAATGATTCCTTTACTTTCAATAACCAATTAATTAATTTTTATATTTTTTTAATCTATTTGTAACTTAATCTTTTTTATATTTTTTTAATTTTAATTTTTTTACTTTTGATAAATAGAAAAAGAAAAAAGAATTAGTAAAAAAATTAAAAATTGATGACAAAAGAAGGTAAAATCAAAGAACTAATTAGTTACTTTTTAAAACGAGAAGGATTATTTTATTTATTTTGTAAAACTAGAGGGATTAATTTATAATTTATGCCAAGTTAATCAAACATCCAATCTAGGCATAGAATAAAAGAAACTTCCAAAAATTCTTTCCTAATCAGAATCACTTCTTTACTGACTCCCATTGACTCCTAAAGTTCCCAATTTTGAACAGCAAACTCTTTGGGCCCACCTTCAAAATCACCCAAAATTTTTATCCGATTTTCAAAAATCATAGCAACTGGGTCCCACTTATGTTCCCAAATTCTAACCCTTCAAAACCCAAACCTCCAAAAACCAAACACAGAGCTACTTCCACACTTTCCCTCTCTTTCTCCCTCTAAAAAAAAAAACATGTTTTTTTACCTCTTCCTTATCTTTCTCTCTCTACCCCTGACATCCCACTCGCTGAACCAAGACGGCCTGTTTCTGCAGCGAGTGAAACTCGGTCTCTCCGACCCAACTAACGCTCTTTCCTCGTGGAACGACCGGGACGACACCCCATGCAAATGGTACGGGGTCACCTGCGACCAGTCGACTCACCGAGTCAACTCAGTGGATCTTTCCAACTCGGAGCTCGCGGGGCCCTTCCCTTACTTCCTTTGCCGCCTGCCCTTTCTGAAGTCGATTAATCTGGCGAACAATCTCATCAACTCGTCTCTCACCGCTGACATTGCCACGTGTCAGAACGTTGAGGTCCTTGATTTGAGTGACAATCTTTTGGTGGGGTCCGTTCCTGAGTCACTTTCCGAGTTGAGAAACCTCAAGTCGCTCAGTTTGACGTCGAACAATTTTTCCGGCGATATCCCGCGGAAGTTCGGTCAGTTCCAGAAGCTGGAGCTGATGTCACTTGCTGGGAACTTGTTCACTGGGTCAATACCGAGGGAGCTGGGTAACATTTCCACGCTCCAGAATCTTCAACTGGGTTATAACCCTTTTGCACCGAGTCAGTTGCCGAGTGAGCTTGGTAACTTGAGTAACCTGGCAGTGCTCTGGCTTTCTAATTCTAATCTCGTGGGTCCGATTCCCGAGAGTTTTGGCAAGCTATCTCGGTTGAGTAATCTTGATTTAACACTGAATCGACTATCTGGGTCAATTCCGAGTTCGCTCACTTGGTTGAAGAGCATTGAGCAAATTGAGCTCTATAATAACTCTTTATCAGGTGAATTGCCTCGGGGTTTTTTGAATTTGACCATGTTGAGAAGATTTGATGTCTCAACGAATCAGTTAACTGGGACAATCCCGACTCAGTTGACTCAGTTGGAGCTCGAGTCCTTGAACTTGTTTGAGAACAGACTGGAAGGGACTTTGCCAGAGAGCATAGCAAAGTCACCAAATTTATACGAGCTCAAATTGTTCAACAATAAACTTACTGGAGAGTTGCCGAGTCAGCTCGGGCTTAACTCACCATTGAAGCGGCTAGATGTTTCATACAATGGATTCTCCGGTAAGATACCGGAGAAATTGTGTGCAAAAGGTGAGTTGGAGGATATGATTTTGATTTACAATTCATTTTCCGGGAAAATCCCAGAAAGTCTGGGGAAATGCAACAGTTTGGGCCGGGTTCGGTTAAAGAGTAATAGGTTTACTGGCGTTGTTCCTGAGGAATTCTGGGGGCTACCCCGAGTTTACTTGTTTGAGCTTGAAGAGAATTCATTTTCAGGAAAAGTTTCTAATAGGATCGCCTCTGCTTATAATCTATCAGTTTTGAAGATCTCAAAAAATCAGTTTTCAGGTAATTTGCCTATGGAGATTGGTTTTTTAGGCAAGTTGATTGAGTTTTCGGCGAGTAATAACTTGTTTACGGGTTCAATTCCGGCGAGTTTGGTTAATTTGAGTACCTTGAATACGCTTGTGCTTGATGACAATGAATTGTCTGGTGGGATTCCGGCCGGAATTCAGGGTTGGAAGAGCTTGAATGATCTTAGTCTGTCGAATAATAAGCTATCTGGTTCAATCCCAGATGAGATTGGGAGCTTGCAAGTGCTTAATTATCTTGATCTTTCCGGGAATTACTTCTCGGGGAAGATTCCGGTACAATTGGATGATTTGAAGCTCAATTTGTTGAACTTGTCGAATAATATGCTTTCAGGGGCGCTACCTCCACTCTATGCTAAAGAGATTTATAGGAGTAGCTTTTTGGGAAATCCGGGTTTGTGTGGTGATTTGGAGGATCTTTGTCCACAGGAGGGTGATTCTAAGAAGCAAAGTTACTTGTGGATTCTTCGGTCGATTTTTGTACTTGCTGGGCTAGTGTTTGTTGTTGGTGTTGTTTGGTTCTACTTCAAGTACCAGAATTTCAAGAAAGCGAAGAAGGTTGTTACTATATCGAAGTGGAGGTCGTTCCATAAAATCGGTTTTAGCGAGTTTGAGATCCTTGATTGTCTTAAAGAAGATAGTGTGATTGGTAGTGGAGGTTCTGGGAGAGTTTACAAGGTTGTGCTTAGCAATGGTGATACTGTGGCAGTGAAGAAACTAAGTGGAGAGAGCAAGAAAGAGGATGCAAGTCGCAATTCCGACAAAGACGAATTCGAAGCAGAAGTTGAAACTTTGGGAAAGATTAGGCACAAAAACATCGTGAGATTGTGGTGTTGTTGCAATACCGGAGATTCCAAGCTTCTGGTTTATGAATATATGCCAAATGGGAGCTTGGGGGATTTGTTGCATAGTAGCAAGGGAGGCTTGTTGGAGTGGCCTACAAGGTATAAGATAGCTCTGGATGCAGCTGAGGGCTTATCTTATTTGCATCATGATTGTGTTCCTCCGATTGTTCATCGGGATGTAAAATCGAACAACATATTGTTAGATGCAGAATTTGGTGCCAGAGTTGCCGATTTCGGGGTTGCCAAGGTTGTTCAAGGAGTTAACAAGAGAACAGAATCCATGTCTGTGATTGCCGGCTCCTGTGGTTACATTGCACCAGGTATTTCTTGTGTCCATTTGGATTGTTATTATGCATTAATTTGGTCAACTCAAGCTTTATTTTCGCTAGCTTTCGCTGCTCGCTTAAGCTCGAAATCACTATTGTAATTGAATTCGTTTGAACTTGGTTTGTTGCAGAATATGCCTATACTCTTCGAGTGAACGAGAAGAGCGACATCTACAGTTTTGGGGTAGTCATATTAGAGTTGGTAACAGGCAGACTCCCCATAGATCCAGAATTTGGAGAGAAAGACTTGGTGAAATGGGTCTGCACAACCTTAGACCAAAATGGCATTGATCATGTAATCGACCCCAAGCTGGATTCTAGTTACAAGGATGAGATTTCCAAGGTTCTCGAGGTCGGTCTCCGTTGCACAAGCTCGCTTCCTATCGGCCGCCCCTCGATGCGAAGGGTGGTGAAAATGTTGCAGGAAGCCGGCATGGCAAACAAGCCTAAAGCCAACAAGAGTGATGGGAAGCTCTCTCCTTATTACAACGAAGAAGTCTCTGATCAAGCAAGTTTAGTTTAAGAATTTTGACCTTTAGTGAACTTTCATTCATTGTTTCATGGTGCTTGATTTCTTGGGGCAACGAGAAAATGATTGATGTAACCATATGAGGTAGATTTCCACATGCCATCTTTGAAAGTATTAACTATATTAGGACCACAGATTTAGATATATTAGAAGGATGGTAACTATTACCACAACCTAGTACTATTTTAGCTGGTGCTACTAAGTGTCCACTCTGGTTCGGTAATTGTAACATGAAAAAACATGAGAGCTGTCAAGACTGAAACATGTCTTTCAAGTTTCAGTAACAGCTGTTGTGCAATTGTACAAATATCACTAGATCCAATCTTTTTGTGTCTCCCATTTGAATCTTCCCTCCCTGCATGTGTTCAATCCTCTAGCACTATATCTGCCTTGTCTTACTATTCTAGTTTGCGCATATTTAGGCTAAATCCTTCCACGAATTCATAGCTTGGTCGGAATTCGATAGAATCAATGAAGCATATCTATTTACTAAGGAGACCAAGGCCAACCCTCGAGATTCCCTTGAGATTTTCGAAAATGTTATTATTTATTTGCTAACTAGGTCAATCTTGGAGGTTTAGTTTGACCTTGGTCTACAAGAAATGAAGCATATCTAGTCACTAACTCGGCCAAGGCCAATCCTGGAGGTTCCCTCGAGATTTTTTTAGTATGGTATCATTTACTTGCTAAGGTTTAGTTTGATCCTAGTCCACAAAAAAATGAAGCATGTCTACTTGCTAACTCGGCTAAGGCCAACCTTCGAGGTTCTCGCGATATTTTCGAATATAGTATTATTTACTTGCTAACTAGATCAATTTTAGAGATGTTCACTATTCGGTTAAAACTGAAATATCGAATCGAATCGAACCGAATTAACAATTTCGGTTTAGTTTTTTCAAAAAAAATTAAAAAAAAAACTGAAATAAAAAACCGAAATTATTTCGGTTCGGTTCGATTTTTTTTTTCAAATTCGGTTTCCACCGAAAACCGAATTAGTTTTTTTTTTATTTTTTAACACATACTCAAACTCTTTTTTTAAAAAAAAAAAATCAAAGAGGCACCTATGGGTTTAACTAAAAGAACAATAGCTTTAATGATTTTTTTTCTACTTAAAATAGAAATATTTTTCATTAATTATTTATTGAAATAAAAAATAATTGATTATCTTATATTGACTCACAAAAAAAAAAAAAAAACAAGACTATGATAAAGAAATTCTTTATGAAAACGCAAATTTATAGGTGCATCCTAAAACCTCATGAAAAAAAAAAATTTCTCCTTGTATTAAAATTGGCACAAATATAAATTAAAAATTGAATTTTTCATATTATATATTCAACAATAAAATATGCATAAAATAAATAGATTAAAAAAATATATGAAAAATTAATAAAAAACCAATTATAGCATGATTGAAAAAATAATGAGAAGCCCAACTAATTTAGTTTATAATATAAATAGAAACATATTTATTATAGAAAAATAATAATAATCATACACAATTTTCTTATAAAATCAAATGTGAAATATGCAATACTTGATTATGTAAGTTTGATATTTTTTAAAAGCAAAATAATTCGATTTTTAGAAGAAAAATGCAAAAAAAAAATTTTGGTTTTTAACCGAAAACCGAACCGAAAAAATTTGGGTTTTAACCGAAAAACCGAATAATAATTTGGTTCGGTTTCGATTTTTGTTTTAGCCAATGTGGTTAATCGAAAATCGAAAAAAAAACATCGAAACCGAACCGAAAAACTGAATGAACACCCCTAATCAATTTTGAAGGTTTAGTTTGATCTTGGTCAATAAACTAACTCGGCCAAGGCCAACCTTCGAAATTCCCTCGATATTTTCGAAGATAGTATCATTTACTTGCTAAACAGATCAATTTTGAAGGTTTAGTTTGATCTTAGTCGATAAAAAATGAAACATATCTGCTTACTAACTCGGCCAAGTACAATCTTCGAGATTCGCTCAAGATTTAGGAGTATGGTATTATATACTTGCCAACTAGGTCAATCCTGGAGATTCTCTGGTGGCAAATCTGCAATCAGTGCTTGGAGAAATTCCCTGAAAGATTCTAAATAGGAAGAGACAACTTTTATAATTTAAAGGAGATAGGTGTATGGAGGTTTTTTGTCCGCCTTGGCCGTCCATCATTTAAGAGAATTAGGTCCTTTTCTCCATAAAGCAAGAAGCCGTTTGGAGAGTGAAAGAATGGCTGAGGACGATGTGCTTCTCAGGAAAATGACAAGATGGATTCCTGAAGTTGATCAGAAAAAGAAGAAAAAAAGTATTAAATTATGGACCAAAAAAAGTTTGTGTTTGGACTGCACGAGGATGCTAAGGTGAGTAAATTGTAAATTAGTCCTTTTAGTTTTACAAAATGAATTAAATAGTGTCTCTTGTTTCAACAACTTATTAATTAATTCTTTATTTTTTTAAAAATATTTTTTTCATCAATATTTTTATTTTTTACTAAAATAATAAAATAATTTGAAAAGAATGAGAAGGATTAAATTAAGAATAAATTTAAAAATATAAGAACTAATTTATTTAGCTTTTGAAACTCTAGAGATTATTTAGTTCTTTTTAGGAAAGTAACGTGATTAATTTGTGTTTTACTTTTTGTTTTAATTCTTTTGGTGGGGTATTTAGTTTAGTCTTATTTCTCTCTGGGGCCCTTCATTTGTTTTGGGCCTTTGAGCTGGTCCAGCTGATCCAACACAATTGTTCCAATTTTATAGTTTAATGACTGTTCTAATATTGCCTTTATAGTTATAAAAAACTTTTAAGATGGTCCCTAGTTGTTAAATAATTAACAAAAAGAAATAGATGATGGACCAAAAAAAAAAATTTGTGTTTGGACTGCACGAGGATGCTAACCTTATTTAGTGAGTAGAGTATAAATTATAAACTAGTCTTTTTAGTTTTACAAAATAAATTAAAATAGTCTCTCTTGTTTCAGCAACTTATTAATTAATCTTTGACTAGTATTGATCATAGTTAATTTTATATTATTTTATTTTAAATAATATCTTTTTTTCTCATCAATATTTTTAATTTTTAATTTTTTAATTTATTAAAAAATAAAATAAATTGAAAAGAATGAAAAGTATTAAATTATAAATAAATTTTAAAATATAAGAACTAATTTATTTAGTTTTTGAAACTATAAGGATTATTTAATTCTTTTTAGAAAAGTAAAGGGACTAATTTTTATTTTACCTTTTACTTGGGCGAATCTTGTTTAGTTCAGCTTAGTCTTTTATCTCTTTAGGCCCATCATTTGTTTTGGGCCTATGCATTGGTATAGCTGGCCCAACACAATTGTTCAATTTTATAGTTTAATGATTGTTCTATTATTGCCTTTATAGTCTTAAAAAACTTTTAAGATGGTCCCTAGTCGTTAAATAATTAACAAAAAAGTAATAGAGAGCTAACTTTTTTCACTTTTTTAATTATTTTTTATTCGTCTCTCTCATCTTTTATTTTCCGTACACGTGATCATTAATATCTCACAAAGATTCTTAAAAATCTAAAAACAAAATAAAAAATAAAACTAAAAAAGTAATATTTTCGTTAAAAAGTTATTTAGCAATAAAAATGATATTGAAAATTTTTAAACCTATAAGATTAATATTGAATTTTTTTTAAGGTTGAAAAAACTTATCTTTTGAGTTTTTAAACACTACAACAACAATATCGAAACCACTTGCAAACACAAAACCTACGATACCAAAAGATAAAAAAAAAAAAAACTGATAAATTTAATGATTAACCACACAATTTTGGAACCTTAATTTTTAAATCAAATAATTAAAACATTTTTTTTATGTCCAAATGCCATCCATCTCGAATTAGCTTTTACAAATTAGATAAAACAGATCAAGTAATTTACAATTTTACATCAAAATTAAAATATCATAAGCATTTAATTTTTTTTTTTTGATTTAATGTACGGGTAATTTGAATCTTGATAACTTAAGAGGAAGCTCAAGATTCAAACCTTGAACTAAGTAAAAATCCATGATTAGGTCAATCTCTTCAACTTAAAATATATAGATAAAACATCACCAAAAATTATACAAAATGGTGGTGTGGGGTAGCATAATATCTTGATACTTGGACTAGGTATATTCAAAGGAAAAAAATATTGCTGGTTTTTCACTTATGCACCTCTCTTTCAGTTTATGTTTCAAACTGAACATGAAGGTCGATGTTGGCTTTTCACCCAAAAAAATAAAAATAAAATAAAGAATATTGCTAATAAATTAAAGAGAATAAAAACTATCGTACGTAAAGGGCTTCCAAATTCCTATAGCCTCTCGCGATGCACGTTTTGTTCTTCAAATCAAGGGCAAATTAGTTTCTTTATAAACATTAGCTAACTACACTGATAAAGTTCGTATTTATACTCAAGATATTCTCATCCCTTTTACTTTGTAAAAATACCATTAATTAAGATAGAAATTTATCCGTAACAGCTAATGATGCAAACATTAACTTTGTGTTTGAACCATATATTTTGGCATTCAGTCGGCTTTGATCGGATGTTTATAAATATCCGAATAAAAAATTACGAATATTTGATGCAAATTGAATCGGTTGTTATTAGCTTTTGAAACATCCCGTTGAGGAAAAAATATCAGTATTTTTATGTTATTATATTAAAAGTATTGAAAACTGTATTATTTTGGTGAGGTCCATGAATCATGATTTAAAAATTAATTCTTGTTTTCATTTTTTTGTTTACATAAATGTTATAATGCAAGGATTTACAGTAATTCAGCTTCGTTTTTTTTTTTTTGGAGACCCCTTTAGGTTTGCAAAACAAAAGAAACAGTCCGTCTTGTTTCAAATATAATTAATTAATCACATGACTAGTGTTGACTATAATTAATTTAATATTACTTTTTTTTAAAAAAAATCTTCTTTTCTCATCAATCCTTCCATATTTTTATTTTATTTTTTTATTTCTTAAAACAAAAAATAAATTGAAAAAGAAGAAAACCGATTAAGTTATAAATAGATTAATTAATTAGTTTTTGAAACTAAAGGGACTAGTTTATAATTTACTCCATGCAAGTAGGTAAGGGGAAAAAAACCTAAGGAAGTTGAGAGGGAGGTTGTCAATTTATAATGTGATAGATAGGTTTCTTGCTTTGCATGAGAAGTCTACGTGAAGAAATAGAATTATGTATGCTAGGAAAATATTGCCGGCTGCTAATATTTATTAATTATTACTCCATTTTATCTCCTTCCTTTTTTTTTTTTTTTTTATTCAATATCAATTAGGGTTTACACAGTAGCTTTATTTACACTCTAGGTTGACATTGGAACTGAATTCTCTCTCTCTCTAAGATTGCCCCATCTCCACTCAACCCTAACTAGCCATGATTAATCTTTGATTTTTGTGTATTTTTTAATTAATCTTTAAACTTGTTCCAAGAAAACAAAGCTGCCTTTGAAGAGAGAGTAAAAAAGACCCTAAAACTACATTTATTCTCCTACAAGTTTTCATACACATTCCATTTACATAAGCACACACAACCAAACTTAAGATCCAAGCAACCCTAATTTTCTTTTGCTTTCTTTGCAACATACCACTACTACATTTTTAGAAATTACACCATATTTTGATTTTTTAGGTATAGATTTTCTTTTTTTCTCTTGACACAAGGACAAAGAGGGGGAGAGGAGAAGAGAGAGTGGGATGTGCATGTGTTTTCTCATGCAAAAGTGGAGGAGAATTTAATTCCTTCCCTACCCTTAAGATCAAGAACTATGTCCTGAAGAGAGACAATACATGCTTTAGAAGAGACAAATTGCTTTTCCTTCTTTTCTTTTAAGCACTTTGTCTCTCTCTGTCTCTCTTTTTCTCTCACACAGAGGCATCGTACATAGTCTTTGTTTGTTAATTCTGGAGTAGCAGTTGGAGAGGGAGAGAGCAAGAGAAAGAAAGGTTTTGTCTTTCTATGGGCATAAGAGGAAACCAAAGGAAATGACTTGGTGCAATGACTGCAACGATGTGCAAACAGTTGAAAGAAGCTCACCTCCACCTTGTAATGCAAGTGTTATTGCTCAGAGACACAAAGAATGTTTGATCAGAAGTTGCCCTTCATGTGGCCACCAAATCAAATGCCAAGACCAGGTTTTTGCTTCATCTACAATTTTGTGTGTGTGGGATACCTTAACTGTAATTGCTTGTGATGTATTGTTTGCATACATGTTAATTTGTAGGCAAGAATTCATGACTTGCCGGGGCTACCGGCCGGAGTGAAGTTTGATCCGACCGATCAAGAGTTGCTTGAGCATTTGGAGGGGACGGTGAAGTCTGATACTCATAAGGTTCACCCTCTAATCGGTGAATTCATCCCTACAATTGATGGAGAGAATGGGATTTGCTATACACACCCAGAAAAGTTACCAGGTGACATTTCAGGAATTACTACAATACAACAGTTTTTAGCTAGTTGATACTAATGTCCGATTTGATCTACATGCTTGAAAATTTGCATGCAACATGAGAAGCCTGTCACCATTAATAGGTCTTGCAATATTGCTTGAGAGACTAACCCTAACCATACAAGGCTAAAAGGAAAAACAATGTACAGTTTGACATTTGTGTGGTACGAATGCAATGGCAATTCTTCATGATCTAGATTAAATGAGGATCACCATGTCTTCTTTCTCAAGTTGAAGAATCTTGATGAGATGACACAAATTCAATACAAAATGCAGTTTCTTTTCCGAAATAGAACCATTCCTTGTGAATCCATTTAAATCTAGCAGGTCTTACTCTTAATTTGGTTAAATCTATTCTCTTAACTTGGTTGTAAATTACAATCCCTTTTTTGCTAGCTCTCTGCTAGTTTCTTTAATCTAATCATCAATTTCATAAGAATAAAGTCTAGTAGGTCCTAAGGATATTGTAGGTTGCATCATAAAGATTTTGTATGGAGTTGATTACTGTACAACTTTTCATCCCAAATTCTTGAATTAGAATAGTAGTTAACCTATCCTATTCTTCTTCTCTGGAGCACCCACCAAATCAGAACTTTAGGGTATAGCATTTTCCATTAGATCCTAGAAGAAACCCACCACCTAACCCTTGTATATTTGTTAGCATTTGCTGTCAGACACGAAGAAACCCCCCAACCAACCGTAGAAATACATGAAATATAATTCCTAGAAGGATTAGCTTTCCAATAATGGAAACATTAGAGCTTTTTAACTGGGTTTCTACAATGACATTTTTCCTCATGCATGCGTATTATTAATTGTATGCAGGAGTGAGCAAAGATGGGCTAATTCGTCACTTCTTTCATCGACCATCGAAGGCATACACAACTGGGACAAGAAAGAGAAGGAAAGTACACACAGACACAGAAGGTGGTGAGACTAGATGGCATAAAACAGGCAAGACTAGGCCAGTTCTTGTTGGTGGAAAAGTGAAAGGGTATAAGAAGATACTGGTGCTTTATACCAACTATGGCAAGCAAAGGAAGCCAGAGAAAACAAATTGGGTAATGCATCAATACCATCTTGGAAATAATGAAGAGGAGAAAGATGGAGAGCTTGTGGTTTCGAAAGTTTTCTACCAAACACAACCTAGACAATGTGGTTCACTCATCAAGGATTCTGTTTCTGTTCCTTCAAAACTAAAGGTACAAAGTAGTGGTCATGAGGGCTCTAACCTTAAGAATGGCACCACTCTTGTTGAGTACTATAATCCTTCTTTTATATCCTTTGACCAAAGCGGACAACATAGATCAACAAACCCTAACCCTCCTCAACAACTACTTCCCCATTTTGCAGTTCATGATGGATCTTCTTTCATCCCTTGAAAAATAAAGAAATGGGAAATTAAGGCTGCAATGATTGAGCATTGGTGAAATAAATTAATATATATCTATATATATAAACTTAGAAGAGGCCAAAAGGCAGAACACATTGGGAAGAATAAGGTTTCTTTAGCTAAGAACTAGGAGCCAGATTCTCCAGGATTAGAGGATTGAAGATTTTGGCTATTTTAATTCCTTTCTTCTTCTTTTACAGCTTCTTTTTTAATTCATGCTTTGTACGGTGTGACAAAGATGTAAATTTCACATGGGTCCTAACCCTTTTTCTATCGGAGAATGTTAACTTTGGAACTGTACAAAGATGATTCTTAAAACTATAAATATTCTGACAGGATTTATCTCGTCCTTTGTTCTGTAAAACCTTTGTAATGATTACTCAAATAAGAATGTTGCTCCTCTCTTTCTATCATGCTGTCTTGTGAATATTTATTATGCCTTCACAAATTATGTAAACTGTTAGTTTCACATCTTAACCAGTTGAATAGCTAGCCGATTAGTCTTATGCATACCGCATGTTACTGTTTTCTCTTCTTATCTTCATGGTATTCTCGAGCTAGTTTTGGCATGTCAAATCATCATAACATCCTCGAGCTAGTTTAATTCTGCATGTCAACATTTTGGAGCAGGGAGAAAATAAGGGAAAAAACTTTGTGCCAAATTGGTTGAATTTCGGTGGTGCTGATTATAGTTTTCAATAATCACTGTTACGTTATTTAACAATTTAGAAACATCCCGTTATCGTTATTTTAGCATTATAGTAAGTCACGATCTGTAATAGTGATCGTGATCGTTTTTTCAATCGTATATTATTTAAAACTATGGTACTGATTAGATAAGTTTGATAAAATTGTAGTAGTTTTCAAGTGATGTAAGTTTCAATTTGATTGCACTTACAAAGGGAGAGTTTTAGGAAAGAGAATCCTACCACTGTTTGTAACCCTAAAAGCTTCACGAAAAAAACAGAAAAAAAAGAAAAAGGACACTCAATCCATTATATCTCGACTGCCCTACACTTAGTGCTCAAGGGAAGGAACACTCCAAGTTGGATCTCACCAGCTTGTAAATATTTAGTTGATTGGCACCCATCATACCTGACTAAGTACAGTATTAACATACAATTGCATAACCACTTGAAAAAGGACTTCATTAGTCCTACGACAAAATTAACAGATCCAAGTGCCATGCACAGATGACCGTGGAGTTTGTCGAGTGATTTCTTCTAATAAGAACTACTGTTTTATTTGTTTTATTTGTTTTATTTGTTTTACATAGTCAAGTCAAACCCCAAAAAGTCAGTTAAGAGAGGGAGCTGTGTTACTTCTTCAGGACTAGTCTTTTGTATAGAGCATAGACATCTTTCTTCTTGGGGGACTTCAGCTCAAGCAAATCTGCACCAAAACCAAGTTCAATGAGCTCTTGCCGCATCTTCAGCACAGTTAACCTGACATAGGCATTGGCTTTGCTGTCTTCACTGTCTTCATTAGACTTGGAATCAGAACTCTCAACTTCTGTTGCGCATTTTCGCAAGGTCATAGTGCTCTTGGGTCTTTTTGGTTCCCCGGCTATTGCTTCAGCACTATCCATATCCTGGACAGAATCTGAACCCGGATTCAGAACTTCTAGCCTAGAACGTTTCCCACAAGAGATGGTTTTCGTCTCAGAACCCAATGAACTTTCATTTGAATGGTCAGGAGATAGGCCCTCTTCAGGTGAAACAAGATTTCTCTGCTGCAGTTCTACATGTAAAGAAGGCCTGTTTCCTATTATGTTTGCCACTTGCATTGAGCTCGATCTTTGTTCGCATCTCATTTTCAGTGACTCTACCTCTTGATCTCTCTCTTTAATCATATCTTCTAATAAAGCAAACCTAGATATCGCATCAACTTCTGATGCCCGCAACCTGTTGACTTCACAGGTAAGATCCACGTTTTGTCTCTCCAACTCTTCAATCTGCTTTTGTGCAGTTTCAATCTGGACAAGTCTTTCTATTGCGAGCTGAGAAGCATCCCCCTTTGCATTTTGAGCAGCCAGCACTTCTGATTGTGCTGTTTCAACAAACTTATTTGCTACTTTGACTTGCTCTTCTGAGACTTTACACCTTTCATGTGCTTCCTCAAACCTTTTAAATTCAGTGAGGTACTTCTGCTCCATTTGGGTTCTGTCCTGTGTCAGTATCTCAGCTTCCCTCTTCAATGCTTGAGCAGCAGTTTTGACAGACTCATACTTATCAGCCAAGTCCTTGAGTTGAAGCTTCAGAGCTGATGATTCCAAATCATATTTCTCCATCTTTTCTTGAGCAGCCTGCATATGCAGATGAAGCATCCAAAAAACATGTGATAAGACATAAAACTGTTTTCGGCAAGCTTCTTGGAATTAAACGCTGTGATAAGATAGTAATCAGCATATCGTAGAAGGTTACAGATCTACCTTCAGGTCCAGATTCAAAGTGGATAATTTGTGCTCAGCCTCCTCAAGCTTTGCTATCTTGTCCTTAATTTCCTTGTCCTGCTATTTTAAAACTCAAGGAAAGTATTGTAAAGCTTTTTCAACAATGTAAAAGCAAAATAAGCAAAGGCATTACTGGAAAAGTAATCCCTATAAAAGCTTTAGAAAAATCTAAAGTATACTCTTCTTTTTTCAGACACAAGTTTTGCAGTTACAATCCTCTCATGCTTAGCCCAAGTATTTTCCTTTTTAGGACAAGTGCCTCTCATTCCCTGGCTTCTCTCTCTTTCATCTTCTGTAGTTCTACAGGATGTTAGTTGTGTGTGTATATAATTTGAATTTAATAAAGTTAAGACAAGATTGATTCTATTATGTAGTGTAACAATTACAACCCAGCTCACATCAAATGGATATTCATACAAGCTACTAAATGTGAATAAAACTAGCTAACACTCACAGAAAAGGCTACTTTCTACAAACAATATGGCTGGAGGGCTGTTCTTTTCTTTATCAGCTTCAGAAGATGCCATATCCCCAACCAATCCAGATGTGGATACAGTGTTTCCTCATAGTCTACGTGGATAGATTTAATGTGTCTAAAATCATATTTATCGTACTAATAGATAAGCATGTATGCTTTTGTGAGTGTGGAGAGAGAGAGAGAGCATCACCTTTTCAGCCAAACTATTGCTCAATTCAGCCCTCAGAGCTTCTTCTCTATATTTTACATCCTCAATTGGATATTCCAGCACCATTTCTGCCTTCTCCTTAGCGGCCTTGGCTTCATTAACTGCAATATCATACTTCTCTTTCCATTCATTGGCCTTTTTCCATGCCAACTGAGCTTGTCCTTCAGTGGCAGCAAGTCTTGCTTCGGCTTCATGACCCCCTGACATGGTTTCCACCTTAACCTGGTCTTCAACTGCCTTTTCCTTATTCCATGTCTCTTCATATTTTCTTTTCCATTCCAAGGATTCCTGCTGTGCAGAATCCAGCATTTCAAGTGAACTAGAATACCTCTCCTCCAATGAGCAGCATTTCCTATCCAAATCCGCTATACGGATCTTGTAATATTCAGAGACCTTATTTAAGTCATTTATAGCATCTTCATAACTCTTTTGGTATTCAATTTTGAATTTCTCACTAGCTTCCAACTGCTTATGAAGCACTTGGATCTTATCTTCAAATGAGCAGCATTTCAAGATAAGGACTTTTTTGTCTGACGAAGCTTCATCAATCAGCTTCTTAGCATGACGGAGTACAGGACCCTGCAAACTGGTTACAACAACTCTAGATGTAAGCTGGGACACATGAAAATGTTCTGCAGGTGGTTTAATAGTTTAGAAAAATAGTTGGCATCTGCCAAAGCCTTTGGAAAACTTGATAGCTTATAAATATGAAAGACAAAAAACCATTGAAGCAGCTAGATCAATTACATCAGCTGATATAGTAAAAAAATGGGTGCAAATTGTATTTCAGTTAGAGAGGAGTTCACCATTTCCAACACATCTCATGCAAGTGTGATCATATTCGATACTTTTTTATCATTTCTTTCTGAGGGTTATGGAAACTATTGATTGTTGAGCCTGGATAAGACCTCAGGTCACAACACTCCAATCACAATTCACAGGGATATTTAGTAAGGCACCATCAAGTACAGGGATATTTTCAATCATCCAGGGTAGAAGCTATAAGTCAAGTCACAAAAATGAATGGGCAAGATTATAAGCATTGGTGTAGTACTTGATGAAAATCAACAGAAACAAACCTCTGTTGTAAGAAGGATAACAACTTCTGCCATTTTATTGGACCATGAACTGATGCTTCATACTCAGATAGAAGACTATCAAGAACCTGAGCAATATAATGAGTCTGGTTATTATTCATACAAAATCTACTCACTGCCTACAATAATGTAATTAGAATAAAGAACTTGCATAGCAAAAACAAACAACTTCACAAATAGTGAATAGAAACACACAGATATTAATAAAAGAAAAGTGTTACAGCAGTTACTGAAGTACAAAGAACAATTATTCCTGTATTAGGTAATCAACAATAATAGAATGAATCTTGTCGTACTACACAAATGAAAATACTGGCTCCAGAAAAAGGGTTTCTTTCTGCCCATCTTCTCTTGTTTATTTTCTATAGTTTGTCAGGCAGGAGATAAAGCACATGAATCCCCTCTGCCACACAATGACATTATGTATCTAACCCTGACTACCATCGGTTAAAAGTTGAAAACTTATGTCATGGGCATGGCATGTAAATAGTAACAAGGTTACACTAACCATTATAACACAAAACATAGATCTTTCCTATACCCTAGAGATTTATAGAAACTGCAGAACTTCAGTTTAGTGGACAGAATGCAGGAAATGCATAAGACATTTTGAAAATAAATAAATAAATGTAAAAGAATGTGAATAAACATACCATGACAACTCTTTCAATTTTGGCATCACCAACTTGACAAACTGCTTGCAGCTTCTTTTCCATGCATTGTATAGCATTTAAACATTGTAAATCTGCCTCTATAAACGCATTTCTTTTGTAGTCCTGCATCAATAGCACCACAACTAGATTTTATCTGGCTTGTAACCACAAGGGTAGGCAATTGCCATAACAATAGTGAACTAAGAATCTGAACTTTTTAATTGAGCAGCTAGGCATTTGGAAGCAAGTTATTTTAATCCCATGGAGTATTTTAGCGATCAAATTAGAAGAGCAGCATTATAAACTTCCCATCCTTAAAGAAGACTTGGGGCATATAGATCTGACCCAAGTGTAATTGACAAGGTATACCAGGCTGACAGCTCTTGTTAAACAAAAGGCAATACTTAATGCAACGTTAATCAAATTGTGGTCTAGATTAATTACATCTACAGCAGGGAAGATTATAATGTACAGAAAAAAAAAAGTGATAGAAAAAGGTAATACAAAATATTAGCAAAGGCAATTATTCCCCTGGACGGATCCTTCCATAGGTATGCATGTTTGAGAAAAATAACTAGTTTCAGTTCTATTATTAGCCTTTTATTCTAGTACTGCAAAATTTTAATTAAATTTGCGTAGTTTTTTTACTTTTTCATGCCTAGGTTTTCGCAAGTCCTTTTCTCATTTGAATTTGGTGAGGTTCTTGTGTGATTAGGCTTTTAGTTATCTGGAAAAACCTTTGTAACTGCAATAGGATGGGGACCACTGCTTGGTCCAAGGGTAAAAGTCCTGGATCTGGATAAGCAAAGACAGACGTGAGGGAGTTATATGCATTTCTCATTGGTTTTTAAGCAAGTTCAATCATCACCTCAAATGCCTTTCTACAAAAATTCTGAAGAAGCACTTCATATTTTTGTCTAGCAGAACCAATTCCAACGGCGCTAGCATTATACATTGAAATTGACTTCTGAACTGCTTCATTGTGAGCTTCTCGTAGGGAAACCTGAAGTTAGAGAATTAAAAAGAAATCACAATAACAATAAATTAGTGTTAATAAAATCAAAGCTTTTGTACTTACTTCTTCAGCAGGCTTTGTGTGATCAAAAGCAGACATGTAAGCTTCAGTGGCTGTATCAAATGCCCGTCGACATTCTGATTCTTCTACATTCTGAAATGGAAAATCAACTATTAAATAGCAAGGACTGTAGCTTTTTATTATAGGAGTGCCAGTGTGCACAAAAGGACAACTGTAGTTACTGCAATAAGCCTAGAGAAAGTGTCATGTTGGAGTTTTTTTTTTGAAACTATAACCGAGATAGAGTTAATTCAAATTTCCATCAATCTAAAACAATTTTAACAATATTATCACCAGAAGACCTTTCCTCCAATTTTGAGTTGAATTGGTTCTTTCAATTCATGGAAAAGATTAATTATTATAATCTGAACCTATGGAAATGCTTTCAAAAAAAGAGAAAAGGACAAAAAGGAAGGAACCAGTAGGGTGCAATGACATATGAATATTGATCAAAATAGATGGTAATAGAAACTTGATCAGTCACTAACCTGCCATGATGAAGATATTGTAGGAACAGCCCCACTGTTAAGAGCATCCAGAAACGATTTTGTGATACCAGCAAGAATAGGTCCTGTCATAACAATGCCCCCTACTTGCTTAGGCTTAGTTCTTTCGAAAACAAATTTTGCCAACATATTGAGCCCAGAGCGAAATTCTGGCCTAAATTTGTCCAACTAGACATGAAACATATGAAGTTATCAGGTCATAGAAAAGGAGAGGTCAATCGAGTTTTTAATCTTCAGACAGGAAGATAAAATAAGATAAAAAAGTTTTACTGACCGCAGCTCGATCAAGATTTTGAAGCTCTGCTTCAGCTTCATTATTCAAAGGATGGACAAGAGTAAAGCACTCTCTATTTGGAAAAAGAGCTCGAATGGACTCACGAATCTGGTATTATTATTGACACAAATCAGTAAATCTGTGGGCTTAAAAAGCCATAAAAACTAATCCAATTGCTCACGTGACTTGAAAAAACATCAAAGATGACAATGTCAATTCAGTGAGCTAGTGCAATTCCAAGAAGTATGCTCGGTTTCTTTCCCATACTGGATTTAGCTTGAACTGAACTGGAAATTAGGATGTAAAAGGAATAAAGTATGAACAAATGTATTCATTCTGGATAAGAGTACAAATAATTTTGAAAAATAAATCCACAGGACCAATTCTGCAGCATACATCATTGGGACTTATTCTCAATAGCAACTTGTCAAGTTCCCTATACTTAACATGATTGGTGCAACTGGAAACAGATTGATTTGCTATAACCAGTGTTTGTCAAGATGAAACTAAAAGCTGCGTTCCAAAAGGTGTAAGCACAATGGGGAGACACTTTCACTCATGCACACATGAAGCATGCCTTTTTATAGCCAAAAAGAGAGCAGGTACATGCCATATGTTGTGCTCAGGGCCCAGGTTCCCAGAAAGGTATTAGCACATCACCCATTGGCATTTCTTCGTGACAAACTAATCAATCCTACCACACAACTTATTTGTAGTTTATACATAATATTTTGTTCTGAGAGTTTGAGACCAGGACACTTCAGCAGTGTAAGCAGTGGTGACAACTCATTAGACTTTGCTATTGTATCCCAGTTCCCATATTGTTATTTTTTAAAGATTTCTGTCATCTCTAACTACAGTAGCATCAAGTAATGCAAATACCTTGTTTTTGGCAGCTACATCCTCTCCACTACCCAGCACTGGTCTCAAGGCCAGCTCTAGGTAGTCCCGGGGTGTTATTTTTGTATTATCCTCTGCCAAATTTAAGTAGAAGTCCTGAAAAAGTCAAAAGGCTTGTTAAATTAATCGTAATGTAAACGATAATGGTGTTAGGCTTCCCAGGTAAGGAAAAGCTACTGTTGATGAATTAAGAACATACGATTGAGGACCATTCGTGAAACTATCCACAAGAAATGCATACTATTTAAATATGATGTTAAAAGATCACCCTCAAAAGCCAAACAAAGATGGGAGAGAAATGCCCGAGATCAGGGACAGTGTCTTTTTCTCCAGAGGTTCTGACATGAATATGCTTGGTCATTTCAGTAACCAGAGAGAGACAATTGAGTGCAGCTTCATCGATACCCCCATCTGAAAATAAAAAAATGGTGGACCAAAATAAGCAGGTCATCCTAGAGTTGGGAACAGATGGCATACAAAACAAGCAAAAGGTTAACCACACACTAGTAGAAGTTACTGTAAACCGAGGTAATAAGGCCTTTGCTTCATACATCCTAACCTGGTTGTAAATGAACAAGCTTGATAAAAGGATGCCCAAGGAGAATATTTGGGCGCTGTACGTTCCCTGTCAGAAGGAAGCTATTAGAAAATAAATAACCTTACAGTAAAAATTACCAAAAACAATCGGTTGGGAACAGGGTTGGGAGGGATCATAATTGCGATGCAGATAACCGATTATTAACCAGCTTATTTGCCAATACTAAGACAACCACAACTGGCTGATGATGTACGCAATACAGCACACTACTTTTGCATTTAATCCACATTAATCAAGTGAGAAGAAAAATCTCATGAACTGTTTCAGTTAGAAAAAGAAGTGGAATCTTCTCTTCAAACAGATCCAGACTGAGCTTATTTCAATGTTTGTTACAGAGGAACTCAGAACTATTCAAGGAAATCTTTTTCCATGTGCTCTTGATTCTTCAACAGCAAAAGCACAATTTATGTTTGAATTGATTCGTATATATATGTATAAGAAAAAAACAACACTCTGCAAATTAAGATTGATGCATTTCTGTCAAAACCATAAAACTATAAGACTAAGAAAAACTTAATGCATTTCTGTCAAAACCATAAAATTATAAGACTAAGAAAAACTAAACTGTTTGATTGTAAGCATCGATCCCTTCACAGTCCAGCAGCACAAGACTGTACTCAGTTCCATCCAATGCAGTTCTCTTCAATGGTGCACTCCATATCCAAATCCCTTTAGTGCACGGTCGACGATTTGATCCAACTCGAAATCCAGTGCTCCTACCAAGAAGCTACAGCAAATTCCGACAAGTTATACATTTGAGAATTATTTTCAGTTCACATTCTTCACAAGATGATATTCAATGTAACAGAAAGCCATCACCAAAACTCCAAAACAACCCAAACTTATGTTTTATGTCTCACAGGATAATAAAGGAATCATAAAGGAAAACACTGAACTGGCTAAAAAAAAAATGAATTGCAAGCATCCAACTTTCCTTTGCCTATCATAGAAGTACTTCACCAACACCAAAAAATGGCTAAAATCACACATTATGCATAGTAATCATCCCTTACAAGTACATGATCATCAACACCAAAGAACTCCAGGACACCTCCCAACCCCCAAAATCTACAAAAAGCAGAACAGCAAGAAAATAAAACCCCAAAAGACTACAACATTGCAAAACTAAAAATTCTCAAGAACCCCACAAGTCACACAATATCCAATACACAACATGCAAAAGCCCCAGACGGAAAAAAATAAAAAAAAAGACACAAACTTTACAAAACCCAGAAGCTAGAACTAGTACTTTCGATGATCTTTTTAACCATTCTCTCAAAACGACTAAAAAAAAAGAGGATCATGAAAGTTTCCTCTTTTGGGGTTAATTTACCTGGTTCAAAAAGAAGCTTTTACCCTGCCTTGCACGCCCACAAACAGAAACAACACCAACGGGTCCTTTAATTAGTTTAAGAACATCGATGGCATCTGGGTTCACTTTAAACTTCCCACTCTCATCATAGTATATGAATTTTATTGGCCTTCCTGTATTACTTGTCTCTGCATTGTCCTTTTCAGGAGAAGAGACAGTGTTTAAAATCTTTTGCATCATTTTTATTGCTCTTACTGTTTTTTTTTTTTTTTTACACAAACGTTGTTGTTTTTGTGGTTTATTTTGGCTTTTATAGCTGTGGGTTTTGGACATCAATGGAACTAAATTATAAATTAGTCCCTTTAGTTTTAATAAATAAATTAATTAGTCTTCTTCTTTTCAAAATAATTATTTAATATCTTAATCAATATTTACTATTTAATTTAATATTATTTTATTTTAAAAATGACTTTTTTCCCTCACCTATCTTTCCATAATATTTATCTATATTTTTCATTTTTTCTATATTTTTTTAAAAATATATAAAAGAGCATAAAATAGATAACAAGGATTAAATAATTAATTTTTGAAATGAAAACCTAATTAATTTGTTTCTCAAACTTAAAGGACTAACTTATAATTTACTCCATCGATGGTAATAATCTTGTTTGGTGGGCTTTCAAGAGAGAGATACATAAAAGCCCATTTACATCTATCACCTGTATTTTTTTAAGTTTTCTTGAAAAATATTTTTCTTTTTCTCGATAGTACCGATAAAATTATTATCATATCAATTTTCGAATATAGAAAGTAAGTATCCTCTATCAATACCAACAAACATATTGATAATCTTAAGTTTAAACTCAAAACATGCTTGCTCATGAAGCTGTAAGATGTAGAGATGCTGCCAAGAAGTGAGCTCTAAGCAAAACCTATGTTGGCAAGATAATACCTATCATGACATAGCATTTCTTCTTCTTTTCTTATGATAGAATGGTTACATTCAAAAATAGATTTTTTACACGCGTTACATCACAGATCGGATAAAATATATAAAATTATTTTTAAAAATTATTTTATTTTGATATCTCGCGTTATATTATGTGTCCGTCAAAATACATCAAATTTTATATTCGATTGATTATTCTTTATATTTTTTATAAATTTTTTATCAAAATTTTTGTAATAGTATAAAAAATGTCAAAACCAATGAATTCTTAGCTAAAAATTTATTTTGTAATTTTTTTAAATATTTTTTTACCTTATAAATTTTTATTAAAAAAATCAGAGAAAAAAGGATCAAAGTAAAAAATGAAACAAAAAAGAGGAATCGAAACCAAACAAAAGATATTTTGTGGATTGAAAAAATCATATTTAAAAAAAAGAGAACAAAATGCAATGTTAGGAAAATTTTAATAATAAATGTATTAAAAATATTTAGAAACTATAAAAATACTAATAGTGCATCCGAATCTGAATAAATAATAAAATCAGCTTGGATGAATAGTATTTTAAATAATAAATAAATAATAAAACTAATGGTGTTACTCTAGTTTTATTTATAATTTATAAGACCAGGCTGGCTATTAACCCCATAAAATAGTTGGGTTGAAGCCTAAATAGATAATCTTAAGTTTAAACTCCTACTCAGGGCAAAAGTAGTTCAATAAAGCATAGGATCAAAATTTTTAAGGTTGGCCAGTTTGTAACGAAGCTATACCAAGGACCACTTCACAGAATGAATCACCTCTTCTTTGTGAAGTGGGATGGCTTGTTTTGTCACCATCACTTGTTCAAAGAAGAAGCTATGTCTTCTTGGACCATTGAAGAGACAATTTTCTAGAACTTGTAAGAACTAGGAATTCAGAGCAGTTAGAGGACTGATCATGTTCGATAAATGCAGAATTGTTCAAGACGAAAATTTCGACAGGTCAATTCTAGTGAGCTTATCATAGACCAGTCAAGAGATCAATCTCTTTGTCTAGCAGCTGCAGTTCCTACTGATCTTTTGAACAAAGTATAGAACGGAACACCATAATTCTGGCTAATTTTGGCCCATCAATTTTGACCCTCTGAACAAAATGCCAATCCGTACTTGCACTTGTGGGACCTACACATTAAGTGCAGAAGCCGCAGGGCTCTCAAGAAGCCTATAAAATGGCACTCAAAGACTATCCATTTCTATCCATCCACATGCCTATCTTAAGCTCCAATTTCCAGAAACAGCTAGAGAAATGAATTCCCATTTGGACCACCAATCACAAAGCCAAGGCAACCATGCTCTTAAACCCAGAAAGAAAAGGCTTACTAGAGACCAAATTAAGCTCCTGGAAACAAGTTTCAATGCCAACCAGAAGCTGAAAGCAGAAAACAAGATTGAGCTCGCCCGCCGACTGGGCCTGCCACCAAGACAAGTTGCAATATGGTATCAGAATAGAAGAGCCAGGCACAAAAATGATGCCACAGAGCAAGACTATAAGAACGTCCAGCTAGAGCTAGGTAATGTATTGGCAGAAAACATGAGGCTCGAGAAACAAGTTAGCATGCTTAGGTATGAGCTGAACAAGGCTCAACAAACGATACTTTTTGGATCAACAACAGCTGCTACAACTCTCCCTTCAGTTTCAGGATCTAGCGATGAGCAGGCAAACTCAAACTCTCCTGGAAACATGATTTGTAATTGGGAAGATGCTGGAAATGATGACATGTTTCCTGTAGAAGAGCTATATCCTTGTTTGACAGGCTCTGGCACTCTGTTATGGCCTCTTAGCTGAATCAGAGGATACTCAATCATGAAACAAGTGATTACAGTAGATTTTCAAGTTTTTTCCAACTAAAGTTAGGCTGGTTGTATTTTATGGTCAAATCAAGAAATTTTATTCGATGTTCAAGCTTAAAACAAGTATATTATCAGTAAGAAAATATAAAAATCAATATCGTTCCACTAGCAGGTACAATTCAATTCCCAACCATGCAATTCTTACTCCAATGACTTGCCAAAGAGCAAGCAAAGCAGAGACTAATGCAAGAATAGTTTTCTATTTCTCCCGAGAAATGCAGAAATAACCCAGCAACTGGACGAGACGAGTGGGAATTTTGTAGATTTATAGAATTAAGAATGCAAGCATAAGATTTCAAAACACATCACAGATTGCAGCTCAAGACGAAATCTTCAAGTTTAACTGAAAGTTCAAGTTGAGATACCTATTTTCTTCAAATGACCATAAAAGAATACCGATTCCTTTCATGATTAGTTGTGGGGCTATTTCTTTTTGTTTTTTTTTCTTTTTTAACTCAAACACCCAGAACTTCTAACAAAACTAGTCTGTCAGGATTTGAATCCTGACTTCTTGTTACAAGAGACCACTCTCTTTGGTTTGTGGGGCTTATTTCCTTCAGGATAGGATTTGGGTAAATGCATGCACTTCACATTCCCATGGCCTGGCCCTCTTCTACGTCTTGAATTGAAAAACTTGGCCAACTGGATGTGTCCATACTTGTTGGTTATCCTTGAGTCAAATAGGGTCCCACTAATTTAGTTTCTTCCTTCGGCATTTGTATGGAGACATTACAAAGTCCAATCAGTTTGACAAAACCTGTGCAAACTTGTCACCTTGCTTCACACTGCGGCAAGTTGTTCTGCAATTTGAGTAAGAAATTAAGTTACAGTATCCATCGAAGGCAAAGTTGACTAAAAATAAGACTCTAGCTAGATTCAGCTCAAGCATAATGTAAGCAGACCTAAATAAGGCCAGTCCAACTCAAACTTCTGAAAAGGTGTAGAAGATCACATGATTATTGAACAAAAATAACTAGAAAAAATTACTCAGAATTCTGAACTTGAAGGAGGTAAAGTTTTAGATCCACTTCCGAGGAAGAAACAGATTACATATGACAAACACTCATGTAAGACTCCTATTTCATGCTATTATACGTCCAAAGACAACAAGAGACTAGAGCATGAACCCTGAACTAAAAACAAAAACATATCCCAATTACCAGACAAAAAGGGTACTAGATTAGACTAGTTGAAAACACAGGTGAATGCTAAATTATCCTATTCTATCACTAAATAATTGGTGCATGCATTAATCACGGATTAATTAGCAATGACCATCGACACACGTGACACAGAGAAAATATTGTAACAGCTTTTGGAATTACTTGAAGACAAACAATTTTCCTGTTAAATTAGAAGCTAAAGATTACAAGGTAGTGCATGTTGTTCAGGAAAAAGATCATAACAGACTACAGGCAAGAACCCTGAACAGAAAGCAGCACATACCTTGATTCCCAGACAAGAAGGGAACTTGAAGAGACCGGTTGAGATCACCAGGGTTAAAGCTAAACTATCCTACTGTAGTACTAAATAATAAAATAAGCAAGAATTGTGAATTAATCAGCAATGACCATCCATAAAAAAGCTGCCAATAAAATAATACAATTTGGTCCACAGCGGTTGGCGTTTATTGTGGGAACATAATTCTCCTGTTAAATTAGAAGTTCAAGCTTTCAAGAGACAGCTAAAGTAGCAAATCGTTCACCAATATGAACGATTCAATATTAAGAATAGTCAGATAAGTCTGCTGAGTTTTCATATGAATAAAAAAATACTGTCTAATGAATGATTCTAACTAACATTGCCAATGACGAACACAGATCGTCCATGTGGGTAGCATCCAGACCATTCACAATAATTTCTTATATTAAACAGAAAGTGTGGGGCAGAATATGTCATCTTGGCATTAATGCTCCCAGTTTTTTCATAAATTAAATTTGTTTTAGCTATGTTTCTAGAGTGCCAATTCTGAAATCCTAACTTTCAAAACCAAGTACCGATCAGGTACATTCTGATATACAAGAGCAATGAGTATCCTTGACAGTAATGAAACAATTAAGCTCTTAATGGTTGAATTATCAGGGTGAACCAGATGCTAATTGTGAACTGATATATACATATGTGTGTGAGCATCTGCATGTACAAGGTTGTCGAAATGACCCATTAAGAGTTTTATCCCAGCCAGGGAACTAGAAACTCATTCTTTCCCACTCATATCAAGCTTAAACTATACAAGCAACGAGCTTTTATTCAAAACTTGAGAGTTCGGTATCCCAACCCCAGAATTCATAACTCATCGTTTCCAACTTAGATCAAGCTAAACCACAGAAGTAACATGCTTTAACACACGAATTGTCTACTATAAATACAACTTCTTATACCTCCACAAACCAACAATCCAAACACTAAACATCTACAGTCTCAATAAAAAAAATAATACTGAAATTTTCAATTCAAGAAACAAAGTTTACATATTACAGTCCTACTTTCAAGTTTCAAGCCACCAAAAAATCAAACACAATAATTGATTTCATATGGAATAGGCCACAAGGAAAGTAACAAGTTAATCCTTTTCCATCATAAAGGAGGGTCGAGGAAGTCAAAATACAAAATAAGCAATAAAACTCTGCAAGAACCAAGCATTATACATGTTCCAATAACATTAAATCAGTCTGAAAACTGGTACAAGGCACGATTAAATAGTGCTGGTCCTCAGTGCTAAACTAAAACAAAAATCTGGGCAAAAACTCAAGCATTATATGGATGCCTGTTCTTGACTTCTAGTTTCTTTGAAAAAAACGAATAGTACAGTTAAACACTGAGCTTTAGATGGGATGTCTATAGAGAACCAAAAGTGCCTCCTGACATCAGAAATTGACTAAATACAAAGCTCCACTATGGATGGGAGAAATAGAGAGGGATGGATGCAAAGCATTAGTATGAGTAATAAAGAGGGAGGGGCCTCCAGTGACACATGCAATCTCAAATTTCATATGGCTGCATTCCTATTCCCCAAGAGCGAGAGGCAGCACTCCTCAAGATTACGAACAAAAGCAGTAAAGCCTTAACCTTGTAGCAACTAATCCTTCTAAAGGTCTAACACCATAAATAAGTACTAGACCAGACCACAGGCCCATGGAAGATGAATATATAGATTGTTAGTCTCATTATTTTTTCTCTTTAAACTTACAGCACCCATTTTGCATCATTATTTCTGCTGCTTAGGCACTATATTTTCAAATTTCTTTGCTACGCAGCCAAACGCACCAGAAAGACATGAGAGAAACAATAAGTAAAACTACTTCAGATGGAGCAACTGAACTATGGGTAGCAATCAGAAGGTAGCTGTGCTTAGAGATCAAACATATTTTTACGAAGCATGGTCCACTTCAACACTTCCCAAACCTCAGGAGGTTCAAATAAAAAACATCAGTGCAATAATCCTCCCAAATACTAGACTCGGATCTCAGAGTAGGCAGTCCTCAACATTCTGGTCTAGTTGATTAAGAGTGCTCCAACCCGGTAGAAAGTTCTAGCATTCATCTCCCCTGCAAACTGAGCTATAAGGCACTAGCCCACACAATGATGCAATCATTCGTACACCTCACTTCTCTCCCTACAATGATCTGCAACAGAGCAACAAATCAATAGTCTTCTAAATTGTAACCCAAATATTGTCAAAAGAGAGAGATTCAAGGACTAATTTCCCATGTAATAAGAGAATGGGGATTGATAGATGATCCGCTATCTCCCAGCTCTCTTTCACAAATAAAACCATAAATACAAAAAATGTGAGCTTCGTTGATTTTTAAAACTCCAATTGGCAAACCAATAATAACATATGGTCTTCTCTACTCTAACCCTACACTCCTAAAACTGCATAAAGTATCAAAACATTTAGTTCAAGAAACAAACTACAAAATAGCTATATAGTTTCAAAACTCATCAAACATAAACTAGAATGCAACAAAGTAGCCTCAAAATCCTCACTTTCTTCACTCAACCTCGCTAAGATCAAACCCAAGTTCAACATATATAAAAATCACACTCAAAATATAAACACAAAAATCTAATTAAGGAAGCTTATACGTCAAGCATCATCAACCATTAAATTAAACTCAAAAATGTAAAATGCAATACAAATACTCATTTTCTTCAATCACCATTACTCTTATTAAAACCCCATTTCAAAGCAATACATTACAATCACAAAAACACCAAAACATAACCAAGATCAAAAAGAAGAAGGACAAAAAAAAAAAAAAAACTCATAAATTCTTCTTCTTTTTCTTGAATATAAACACATCAGTCTCCTCATAACAATACTCAGGATGCAAATCCTCTTTCGGAACTTTTTCAATCACAAAAACCTCTCCACAAATCTCCCAAAACAACTTATCCGCCTCCGGTGACCTCACTTGATACCCCAACAAAACAACCCCATCATCTTTCACTAGCATTTCCATTGCCTTCACCAATGGCCCCACACTCTCCTCAATATAAACAACATCCGCGGCAATTACAAAATCAAAAGCCGGACTAACCCCATTAATTTGATCCACATTACTCCAATACAGAATCGCTGTCTTCAACATCTTGCCAAGAACTTGCTTGTTTCGCTTTAAATTGTGTTTTAAAGCTGGCATTACAGGGTGGATGTCAGTAAGGACAATGTCAGTGAGTCCAAGAAGGTAAAGGGCCATGCCGGTGACACCACAGCCGGTGCCAAGTTCGATGGCACGGCGGTTTTGGAAGCTGAGGAGGGTGGAGTAAGGGTTTGGAGTGGTGGTGGTAAGGTTTGTGGATTGTGGGGTCCAGCGGTCGAGGAATTTGGAGAGGACTAAAGAACATGGCCAAACTGAAGTTCCAACGTGGAAGGAACCGTTATCTTGTTGAAGAGAAAGAGTTTTGTCTTTGATTTTGAGGTCTATGACTGGTGAATCGGTGAATTTCATGTTTTTGTTTTTGGTTTTTGCTGTTCCTTGATTTCTTGAAAAAAATCTGAGGTTTCTTCAATTTTTTGTCGGCTGTTGGAGGTTGAGGGTAACAGGGAAAGACCGGAATTTGAGTTAATCTAAATTAGTCCCTCTATTTTCTACAACCGAATCGATTAGTCCTTTTTCAAAAATTATTATTTAATATCTATGTTTTTAAATTTTTTGTAACTTAATCATTTTTGTTCTTTTTGAATTTATTTTTATTTTTTGTTATAATAAATAAAAAACGTGAAATAATTGAGGTGAAAAAATAAATATAAGATAAAATAATATTAATTTAAGTGTAATCAATTGGTGGAACGATAAAATAATTATTTTTTGAATAAAGCAGTCTAATTAATTTAATTCTAAAACCTATAGGGAGTAATTTATAATTTACCAAGAGGAAGTGTTGAGGGGATTTAAGGCGGTTGTTTTCGTTGGTTTTTGGTTGATTGCTTTTGGGCTTAGAGTTGAGAGGTTTCTAACGTTGTATTTGGGCCTCGGCTCTGCAAAGTGTTATGGACAGATTGGATTATGCTATTAATACAAGAATTCAAGCTGTCCGGCCCAATAGTTCTGTATTAATTCGGATGTGTTTTTGTAGGCAGACGACACTCGACAGATTTACATTGAAAGAGACATCCTTACTGACGGAGGTCGAATAGCTATGGGATGAACGAAATGGTGTTGAAAATAAAAGTCATTCAAATTAATATTTATGTTTATGTTTTCTTGTGATACAATAAAAGAGTTTGTGATTATAAAAACATAATGTTCTTGTTTGAATTGACTCGTGTGAGATTAATATTTATGAGCTATCTAAAAGAAAATTTTAAACTTGAAACTTGAGTTTTAACCTTTAATTCTAAAACTTTTTTTATTTTTCCGTGGATTTTTAGATTATATAATGGAATGCAACCTTCTTCCATTATATAATTATTCAATCGGACTCGAATCTGACTTCACAAAAAAAAAAATAATAATAATTCGATACACAACCGTTAGATTAAGTCTATTTATATTTGTTTTTTTTAATTATTATTATTATTATTATTGGGCTCTCTTTATGTTGTCTAATTACATTAATAATGTCCTTCAATTTATTGAGGCATAAGAGATAGATCTCAGGTAATGAAAATGTAATTAATCTTAGTATTATTTAATTGCAAAATTGATGTTGCACATAAATGGAGTAAATTATAAATTAGTTCTTATAGTGTAAAAAAAGAATTAATTAATTTATTTTATTTTATTTTAAAAACTAATCATTTAATCTCTTGACCATTGTATATTTTACTTAATATAATATTATTTTATCTAAGAAAATCTTTTTTCTCATCAATCTTTTGTAATATCTTTTTATTTTTTAAAACAAATTAGAAAAAAAAAACATAAAACGAACAAAAGCAACTAATTAAGTGATTAGTTTTTCAAATATAAGACTAATTAGTTTCTTTCTCAAACCTAATCAAGGTACTAATCTATAATTCACTCCAAATAAATAATGGAGATGCTTTTTTTTTTTTTTTTAATGAACAATAGTAATGAAAATGTATACAGTAATCACGTGGTATTGATATTTGAAAAGCAGAATATATATAAAAATGTTCAGAATATTCAAAGAGACAAGATCAACATTTCTTTTTCTTCATATATATCTGGAAAAAAGAAAAATGTCAGAGAGAGAGAGAGAGAGGTGGGGCAAAATTATGGTGCCAGCATATATATATGTATATATATATATATGTATGTATGTATATGATAAAGAATATTATTTTCTCCATACACAACATTTTGTTGCTGCATAATAAGCCAGAAACCAAACCCTATCCAATATGGTCCACCGCAGGTCTTCTTTTGCCAGCCCTGAAAACTCCATTATTTTTTTGGCATTTGCTGGCAAAAAAGCCTAGCATTAACACATACATCAAATATTCCATATCCTATATATAGATAGTAGATGTCAATATTTCACTTTATTTTTGACATTTTTAACCATCTTTGAAGTGTTAATTTGCTGCATCAAAAGCTAAAGTTTGGAGCTGAGAAATGTTGCTGATATAAAAGAACACTGTATTTTTGGCATTCAATTTTTTTTTTTTCTGTTTCATTGTTCAACCCATAATTTCTTTTATTTCAATACCCAGTTATAATATATATAATTTTTTTTTTCTGTTTTGACATCCACAATTAATGTCTAGAATTAACTGCTACGTAGTCGTTAAAAAATATCATGCAATAGTAAAAAATGCCACATAGACAATAAAAAAACAATTAAAAATTAAAATAGAAGAATTTACCATTAGACATCGAAATAGAAAAAAAAAAAAAAGGCACAGAACATTGCATTTTTCTCATCTATATAAATTTGCTTAACTTATATGGCACACAAAGCAAAACAAAGCAATGTTCATCTATCATGTCATGAAAGTAAAATCAAAAGATTTAAGAATATGTATCTTTTTCTCTTTAGCTCTCTTTTTTTTCCTTTTCTTTTCTTTTGATCTTTTTTTTATGTCATTATCATGTCCTCTTAAAGTCTGTTGTACCACAATTAAGGAAGCTAAACAAATGATTAAGAGTATATTATCTTGAATCAAAGGAGAAGTCATGAATGAATGAAATCTGTAAGTAAATATGTTTTGGCCCTCCCTTGGTTAACCCAATTTAATTAATTCATTTAAAAAATTACCAATATATGAAATTAAAATGGTTATGCTTCCAAAAAGAAGAATATATAGACATTTGAAATTTTATCAGTAGATAATTGTCAGATTTAACTTATAAATTATTTCGATCGTATTTTTACATAATCATAACTATAAGTTTAGCTAGTAAATTAATTAAGTTGGTTGGCATCACTAACATTTCTCAATTTGATTTTGGGACAACATTAATTGAAAAATAAGGGTAAAAAAATAAAAATCAGTATCTTTGAAAATCATCCAATTAAAAGGGGAATTAAGATAATAGAATGAAACCTGTAATGTTCTTCCCTCTAATTTTTGTGGTTGAAATATAGATAATCTTGCAAAACTATAATACACTTATGCATAGTTTGGTGATGGAAAAGTTACATTAATTTATTTAAACAATAGGCTAATTTAATAAAGCCTACTTTTACTTGAAATTATGAAGCCTTTTTTTGCCATTGGAAATACCCTCACAACAGTGGCGAAACAATGCAATAATGGAGCTCAAAAGGTGCAGTACTCTTTGCTTTGCTCCCACTACTACACTCCCTTTTCTCAAAAAAAATTTAAAGCCTTAAAGGGATTATTAGCTTTTAGGGTTCAGCAGAATATGCATGGATCTCCTTTCTTCAACAACTAGGACTCTTCAAGGGTTTTCAAAGCATAAACTTTTAGCTCTCCATCAAGCACTAATGAATGCCACCTTTTCCTTCCTGCAAAGTTTCCCAATACTAAATTCTCTAATATTTCTCTCCTTTTTTTTTTTCCTTTTATTATCAGAATATGCGACCCCGTGAAGTTTAAATCCATCCATTGATAGATGATGGGTGGCATATGGCTTGTACACCAACTCCAAGAAAGTCTCTAGTTTGCCCTCCTGCAGGAATATCTTGATCACTTTGAAATGTTTTCTGCCTTTTAGCAGAGTACATTTGAAGCTGATCCAAAGTGGAAATCTGATCATTTCCTGAGTTCTCCACATCACTTTCTGGATTAGTGCTCATAGGGCTTGAACCATACAGTCCACAGAACTTGTTGTTTCCATCTTGAACTTTACTGCTGCAGCTCTTTAGCCCAAAACTCCCGAGGAATGATGGATCTGTTGAAGTTGCACCAATCTGAGCAGCTTTTTGCAGCAAAGCAGTGGCTGACATAGTTGCTGAAGTTGTTTGATGGGACTGTTGTTGTTGGGTACTGTACAAGGAAGGAACACTTACTAGCTGACTTGCAGCAGTTGCTTCCTTTACTTTGCTTAAAGGAAGCACTAAAGTGCTACTCATCTCCTCGTGAGCATTATTCGAAGGCATCTTATTCCCGAAAACTGGCCAATTTAACTGATAATGATCAGATGGTGGAGTATTTGAGCACGAAACAGCAAGAGGGTCACCAAATATAGCTCCTGAACTGGTCATAGAGCCAAGTTGATGAATCTCTTGAATGTTATTGCCCATTGCTTCACTGACTTGGGGAACTACTCCTTGGCTCATCCACAAGGAAAGTCCTCCTTGTCTTGTTTGATGATGATCATTGCTTGAATTTGGCTTGAAAATTGAAGAGAAATGTTGTGCCATGCTAGGCCCTAATGGATTCCCCATTAGATGATAATTCATGTTCCCACCAGTTAAGTTGCTTATGCTAGATGCTGCATTTACTCTAGCTGTTTCCTCTGCTAAGGCATCACAGAAGGCCCTATGGGTGATGAAGCTATCTCTCCTGCTCAATCAAAAATTTTGAACATCAAGCTTAAATGACAAAACTATATGAAATTGAAATAGGGTAATAAAAGGCTACTTAGGACACTAAATTCAAAGATGGATAGGTATGGATGATGGAAATCAATGATCATGTTTTTCCACCTATCACTTTGTCTTCACTGTAACTCCCTTTTCTCTTTAATTATTTACCAACTTTGAGAGATAGAAAAAAAGTGAGAGAGGGTACTGCACAGACAAAGATATCACAACCACAAAAATCGCTTTCATGCTTCACATAGTTTCTATTTGGACATGTTTGATTGTTGTTCTTGTTGTTGACAAGAAAAAAGTGATGCTCTATCATCTATTACATAGACAAACATATTACAACCACAAAGATCACTTTCATGCTTTATTAATTAGCTGTTCCTCCTTGATTAGTCAAAAAATATGCAAAATATGCAAACCTCGAAAATAGAGTCCCACAGTCACATTTGTACTCCCTAGTGCCACAAGTCTTTGAGTGTGCTTTCCAATCTGACTGCACAGCATATCTTTTTGAACATTTTTCGCACTTCCATTTCTTCTCTCCATGCTTCCTACAAAAGTGCTTCTTTATACCTGTTAAGTCTCCAAGAGCCCTAGAAGGATGATGATGGACACAGGTCTTTTCAGGGCAGACATAGACACGCTTTCTTACTTCTTTATTAGCCCTTTGCTTGAGCTTCCATGGAAGGTTGTGTCCTCTCCTATGGAGTTGTAAATTTTGATCTCTTTGAAACCCTTTACCACATATTTCACACAAGAATCTGTTGGTGGCCATAAGAGTTTTTGGTGATAAAGCTATGACTTCTGCTTCAGGATCTGCATAGAAGAATAACTATTCCCATGAATATTAACTTTGAATATACTGATGATCATGATCATAAAGACAGAATGAGAAAAGCAGACAGAAAGAAAGAATAATAATAAACCCAAAAACTCAAAAAGAAGAAAAAATTAAATAAACAATCTAGCTAGCTAGCAGCTTGCCTGGAGTTCCTGGGAGGTTTCTCTTCTTCTTTGGAGCAGGAGGATTGGATCCACCAACAGGGTTTTGAACGAAACCATTATCACCACTTGTTATTGCTTCTTCTCCTGCCATGATCTTCTCTAACATATCTCAACCTCTTCTTTTCTGTTCCTTTCACTTCTCTCAATCTAGCTAGTTATACAAAAGAAAAGGGTCATCAAAGAGAGTTATTACAATTATGATTAAGAGAAAAAAACAAGAGAAAGGATCAGTCTTATGAGGTCTCACCTCTCAACTCTCAACCCTAAACGCATAAGAAGATATATGCAAGATTTGATCTCTCTCCCCCCTCTCTCTCTATCTCTAATATGCTGCTGTAGTCATTTTAATGAGTACTTGCTTTTTAGCTAAGGCTAGGATAGAATAATCAAAAATGTTTTTGGGAGGTGCTGAAAAGTTAAAGTTGGGATATAGAGGGAGAGAGGATGCCTGAAGAGTGAAGGGCAAAAGGTAGTGGGAGAAAGCTAATCTCTCATGCCTTTTCAATTAGGAATGATTATCACATAATTTGTTTGCTTTTTGTTTCTCCATTTTTCTAATCTGTCATCTTTAAAGATTGTGCATTGGATGATATTAAATATTGAGTTAATTATTTCCAATAAGCCCACAAACATTTGTAAGGAAGCCTAGGTTATCCTGTATAGCCAAGATATGCTCAAAAGCAAATAGATTGGATTGTTTTCTTTGGTTTTTAGCTACTTCATAACCATAATGGAAAGGTTAATTAACCATGCAAACTCAAATCAAACATTGGACTTAATTTAATTACTTCAATTATTTGTTCTTACAAATGGTAATTAATGATTTTTACTGTCTCAATGAGGTGATCAAGAATGTCGTCCCCATTTTGCAATACGGTCTTATAGATATATATTTACACTGTAGAAATGGTTAATGACTGAATTTTTCTTAATTTATATAATAAGATAATTTTTCAATCTATTTTTGTTTTTATATCTCTAATTGAATTAATTTTATTGTTAAAAATGTATAATGCATCCTTCTAGAAATATTTTTAAATTAAACTATTGAAATTAGTCATACGATTTGTACATGAAAGCATTCTATTTTATTAGTTTGTAAGAGTATTTTGAGAATAAAAATCGATCATGTGCAAATCACCATAACAATTTTCGATGGTTTGGCATAAACTCTTGACAAAATAATAGATCGAAAACTTAACATATATTCAGAGATAAAATTGACTCAATTAAATACATAAAAATATATTAAAAAATTACCTTATTATATAATGACAATAAAATTATTAACCTGTTTAGAAATAAACCCTATTGAAGGCTAACTGATCCATAAACTAATTAATGCGCATACCTAACTCAATCCATGGACTAGACAAGACAAATATATACAGCTCAAAGACTAAGTAGCATAGCATTCCTGCCCTCCGAAGTTTGAAGTTTGGTATATATAATTCCTTATCCAAAAAACAAAACCAGTAATTCTCACCAGAAACATAGAATGAATTGAAACAACTTGCTAGCTAGTGGTCATACAAAAGCAATGCTATGGACTATATGTTTGGTTTTGTCAAAAAGATGAATTAACATGTCTATGAGAGCTGAGTGTTGAGAGTGACTGGCTAGCAACTTGAGACACACAACTAGTCACACTCTTTTCTTTAGCCATCCTCATTTTCCACAAAAGTAAAACTTTTTTCCAGTTTCTGCCTACTAGTCAAAATTTTAGTCTTCTTTTCAAAGAAGAAATTGATCAACTCATGCCACATTTACATAAGCGTTTTTTTAGTATAATTAAATGTGCAAATCTTGGTTAGAAATATTTGGTTGTTTTGTAAAATCTGCCATGCACGTGCCCAACTGTCAAGGAAGGTAAAATCCAAAGGAAAAGACGAAAAAAAACACATAAAAGGGAATAATCGTCCTGATGACAGTATAACCATTGGCATTTAGCCTCTCATCACTCACTTCAAAATTGACTAGATTTGTAACCCACTTGAACATTTATTTTTTTATTTTTATTTTTAGAATTTTAGTATTTGTTAGGGAAATTTTTTTACATAAATAGAATGTAGAAGAAGTTAGGTTGGTTGTCTGATGATCTTGAATGGTAGCTCGATGCAAGATCAGCTTTACACTTTTGCTTCCAACCCTTTTATGTTTGCTTTTCTTTCGTGGATTTTAAAGATTTTTGATTGATGTGTTAAAAGCAATGGCCATGGTCCATTGATCACGATCAAGGGCATGAATTGTCAATTGAATAAGAAACCTTTTCGGTTCCTAGGTGTTTGTTTTTTATGGCATTTTTTAAACTAGTATATATATATATATATATATTTGAATGTCCAAGTTCTTTCTTGATGAGATTTTTTTTTCTTGTCTAATATATTTCTTTTTTTAAATTTAAATCCAAGATGATGATTTTGAAAGGAAACTAGAAAATCTAAAAAACTTAGGTTAATAGTTCAATATATCCCTGTATAATAAGGTAATTCTTCAATCTATTTTTATATTTTTAATTAAATTAATTTTATCTTTGAATATATGTTAAGAATCTAATCTATTTTATGATAATATTTTTAGGATAAACTACCATGATTTGTAGATAAAAACTTTCTATTTAACTAACTTATAAAGATATTTTAAAATAAAAATTACAAATAAGTGAATAATTGTTTGACCTCAAAATCTTAGCAAAGAATAAATAGAAAACTTAACATATATTTAAGGATGAAATTGACTCAATTAAGGATATAAGAATATATTTAAGAATTACCTTATTACATGAGTGTCGATTTTAAGCTATTAACCCCAAAAGTTTTTGAATTTTATGTGCACTTTGAAGTATGAATTATACTACCATTAATTAGGTTTTGAGATGAGAGACACATATGGATACTATATATTGTTTCAGATCTACAACAACTCAATAGAAAATTTGAGAATGGAATATATTTGAGATGCCCTAATTGTGATTTAGCTTCTTTCTTAATCATGCTCTAAAAAAAAATTAATAGATGATTAAACAAAGTATAGGGAAGAGGTTAAAAGACAGCCAGCTGACAAAGGCAGTGAATTTTTAGAATTGTGAGCTAGCGGTCGTCTCCTTGTGGGCTGACTTTTCCTGCTAACCCCTTAATCATAATCTAATGATGTTTTTGCTTTCTAAATTTGTTTAGTATATAATCTTTGGAATTTAGCTGTTGAACTGTGGCGGCCTCGGAATATTCTCTCCGTCTCCAACACTCTCAAAGGCTTCACTTTCAATGTCTAATGAGATTCTTTATTAATTATACAAACCCTAAATCTATTTTTCTCTCTCTTTTTGAGGTGAGGAAGAACATGTAGTAGCTTAGCGTTAAAAAGAGGAGTTGTATACGTTAGAAACCATAGGCAATATTTCAAAATAGAAGGGTTTAGGGAAAAGCAAAATGTTGTCACCAAGGGTATGTTTGTTGCTTAGTTTGTCTCTTGCAGTTTGAAATTTAGGTTCGACGAGGTATTTTACAATTGATTTTTTGTGCAATTCAAGGATACCTCCCTGCCCCAAGTTTTCCTAATTACAAGACATGATGACTTTGTTCCTAGCTAGCAAGGAAATGTTCCCAAAACTGAAGGATCATGCATGTGAATTGAATCATTCCAATTCAATGTAGCGATAGGGATGCAGAGATGTATTAAAAAAATTAATCGAAATGACATATGGTTTAATTGGAAAGGTATTTAATTTCGATACGAAAGAATTTGTCGAGAAGTTTTTGGCCATTAAAAAAAGTCTATTAAAAAAAAACTATATGTATGAGTCATAAAATGTTGTAAGGTACAGTTTGGTGTTTGCTATTTTTTAGAGTGCTATTTTTGCAAGGTAAGTTTGGTTTTGCTTTTGAACAAAAATATCCTAAAAAGAGAACAGATTTGGATCTAGGAATCCTATACAGAAATCCACATGCTTTGGTTTATAAAAAGTTGAAGAATATATGCCCTTTTCCAAACCCAACTCAATTATCTTTCTTTATTTTATTTTTTCTCCTTTTTCTTTAACTTTTTTATTTTTCCTTATTTGTGAATACACATGTCACAATAGCAAAGGCTCATAAATTTAATCCTGCCAACTTTATGAACACAAAATAGTACTAACATGAATATTCTTTTGCAGTTTGTTTTTGTAACTTTTTTGGAGCATGGTGGTAATAAGTAATATTCCAATTTTCTGTTTTTTAAATTAATTTCTTCTGAAATTGGCAAGCTCAAATGTATCTTGGTAACATTATGCAAGTATCCATGACCTTAAGTAAATTTTAATAAACTAAAAGGGAGCAAAGTTTTATAGCCTAAGTTGTATTTTTCTTCCTTTTCAGTACTATTTTTCAATGAACTCTTACTTTTCTTCTTTTCTTTCTTTTTTTTTTTTATCAAAAAAAGAAAAAGAAAAAGACAATTACAAACACCCTATTTTGGTCAAATTTATTTTTGAATATGTTAAGTTTCTAATATACATATCATTTTGTTAAGATTTTTAAGTACACCATTGAAATTAGTTATATAATTTGCATATGATCTTTTTTTATTCTCCAAATACCTCTATAAACTTGTCAAATAGATAGTTTTTATGTGCAAGTCGTTTAACTAATTTTGATAGTTTAGCTTGAAAATCGACCAAAATGATACATTAGGCATTTAACGTATATTTAATAATAAAATTAATTCAATTAAGAATATAATTATACATTTAAAAAAATTAACTTATTATATGAATACAAATCTAGCCATTAG